GCAGGAATGTCATGTGACCCCAAATTCTTAGGTCCAACTGTCCAGTGCCCAAAAATGCTTTATTTTCCATTATGCATAGATTGAATGGATTTAAATTCTTGCTTCTAATTACGGATACTATTTATTTCAAAGGTGTTAACCTGGTGAGAATGAATGTCATTTATAAAGTTGTCTTTGTCGAATCCCATTTAGATGGTAGCGTGCATAGGTAAGCCCATGGGAATGGATCAATTTTGGAGACTTTCTAATTAAATTTGAAATGTCAACCATTTATCTTAACTGGTATAAATTTATCTGGCATATTTTCCCACGCTATTACATAATGGCTATGCTGTAGATATTTCAGAATCACTGTGGTAAGGCTGTCTAAGTGTACTATCAAAGACTCCTGATTCAATTTTGAGTAGAGAACTTTTGCCAAGTTTGAATGAATCTAGAATTTGCCATGGTGATTGTCCTTGTGAGTTTTAAATTTGAATTTCCAAATGCCTGCATGTGTGTTGCTAGTGATATAGGTCAGACAAAAAAGACAAGAATATAGTCAGGCGATGTCATTACTTAAATGTTGAAGGTCTAGGATGATTTACTTTATCTTTATGATTCAACATTCTATCATTCGAGCATCATTCATACTGATAAGTGACCCATATTAGTGGGCATAGAGCTCAGGGATGCTTTGTTTGCAGTATACACGCACATTCTGCATATCACGATGTGATTTAAGGTTTTGCCATCTAATTTCCTTGTTTTTTTGGATGTATAGCTTGCATGTGCTGTAAGGTTTTTTACATGCTTACTGTTGGTTTTGCCTATTGAGAAGGGTGCCACTTTTCTAAGTCCATTTAGATGATGCTAATAGGCCCAGAGGTGTCATCAGGATTTAATGAAAGTCTGAGTTGACAATTAGGAGGATCCCAAAGAAATTTAAACAAATGAAACAAACAGATATCTCATTAGCATACGAATTACAACCCATTAAATTTGGAGGATTTATATTTTTCAGGGGCAGCACTGTAGTATTTCTTTGTGGCTATCTTAAGGATGGGAGGGATCCTTACAATTTTCAAATTCACAATCCATTATTACTGATTTAATTTTTTGTTGTAATTCACTCCAAATATCTGAGGCATCTATGAGATCAAAGTGCTAGAAAATTTAGCTTGGTTATGTATCTCACTTTCTGATATTTTTCCTTAGTTCTCAAGTTCTCAGTTTTTTCTTTTCTTGTTTCAATTTTATGTTCATTTTAGTGTAATGCACTTCTGTTCCTTTTCTGTTAACTGCTTAGCTGTGGACATAATTGGTTGATGCAGGATAAAGATAGAAATGAGAAAGGGGCACAAGAGTAGATGAAGAGGGGAAGGGAAAGATTGAAAGAATAGCAGGAAAAAATAAAAAAACACCCTCAATTTTTAATAACCATCCAACTCACCCCACTACTAATACTAGGTTATGGCCTTCATATAGGCACTTCAACCCTAACAAAACACTAGAATAATATGATAAAGTTCCAAGGAAAATAAAAACTCTAATCAATACCAAATATCATAATAATCTAAACAGTTAGATTCACTACATTACATGCAAATAAAATAGAATTACATCTTGAGCTTTGTAAAGATCTTCCGTTGCTTCTCCATCATTGGTTTATTGACATTTGCATGCACATAACAATTTAGAGGTTGGAAGAATCCATCATATGGACGCATGCAAGTAGAATACTGCTTCTATTTTATATCTCAATAGAATTAAATGGACTTCAAAACAGTTCTTAAAACTTATTGCTCATAGCTCACCACGAATCCATTGTTGTTCTTTTCCTAATGTATAATGGATGTTTTCTGCCCCAAATTGATTATGTTTTGCTTTCACTTTTTCATATGGACTATGTTTCCTATCTCTTTGGAGTGACCATGTGTAATTGTCCAACACTTCGTAGAGAGTTAATATTCTTTTGATGCTCGGTAATGAAATTTTTAAAAATTGGAATTTCCCATCCATCTTTGCAACACAGCTGGAAACTTTTGATGCGTGACCAGTTGGATTCTTCTTGCTTGTCTATGCTATCTATCTCTTTGAATTTTCCCACGAGTCCCAGTTTTTGGGTTTCTCGTTTTGTCCCTTGCAACGTAAGTGAAAAGTCATGGAAGAAATTGACAGATACATGCATCAGTCTCTCTGTTCTTGTTAATTTCTTGCGTGCACCTTTTGCCTAGAAGATCTGCTGGGTTTTGGTCCACGCATGGTCAGCATATATGTAGGTCAGTAGATAAAAATCTCTTAACAGGTGCCTCCTTCATTTGTTTTGCTGGTCCCTCATTTCTTTTTTTTTGCAGAGGGCATTTGTACCGGTAGAGCTATTTGTTCGCTTCAAGTCAAATGCCAGCTATTGTGGCCAGAATTGGACTCACCCGTCATTTTCTCCTTTGTGTGTTGTGTGTTGATAATCATGTGCTATGTGAAATTGTGAATGTTTTCGAGTTAGCTATCCTGTTGGTCTATGAGAATACTAATGAGCAGTTGAACTACTCTTGTTGAAGGTTGATCGTCATCCCCATTTTAAAAGGTCAAGGTGCCTGTTTGTTGTAAGATCTGATGGTGGATGGATAGACTTCTCCTATAGGAAGTGTCTGCGAGCATACATTCAATTCAAGTACCCAACTCATGCAGAAAGATTCATTAAAGAACATTTTAAACATGGCCTGATGATGGTTACAACCCGGGCGATTACCTGATACTCCATCTGCAATTTTCTATTTTCTTTTGTCAATTAGAGATCATTCAGATTGACATATTTTGAAGTTTTCCATCAGCGCAGGATTGTGTACGGATCCTAGGACCTAAATGCATCCTAGGTCTTTTCAAATTGTCGGAAATAGTAGATAATCCCTGAGTAGCCCGTCCAAGTTTATTTGTTTAGAAATGATGACAAAATGATTGAAATGCTCTCGACTTTGTGGACTTGCGTCTGTCTTTTTGCTGCCTTGGAGCATATTTGGCTTCTTTGGCAGGGACGCCTAACATGTCAAGAACTTGGTTACGCTTCGATAGAATAAAGTAGGAGGGTTCTGTAGGAAAAGAGAACGTGAACGTGGATGAGGTTTGCACCACGCCAATCGGGCAGACGATTCAAAAGGTCATTTTTGCAGTCAATAAACATCATAGCCCATGCTCAACATAATCAATTATATTCCTCCAGTTTTTTAGTCTATCATGCAGATCTGTCTTGTTTTGATGTTGACAATGTGGTCCTGTGGCGCATGGGACAAGATTTCGCACCTTGGGCATCATTTTTTTTTTTTTTTTTTTTTAGATATTGATCCGAGTAGTCATTGTCTAGGGTGGTGCTCGACTAAATAAGCAAGTGATGTTTAACCAATAGGGTCTGTGGGCTGTTTGAAACGAGTTTAGAATGGAGTTTCTCAAAAATATGAATTTTACTTTTGTTTAGAATTAAATTTTTTATGTCTTTGAATTTTTTTTATGTGGCCATGTTGAAAATAATTTTTAAAAAATGAAAAAATATATTATTTTTATATATTTATAAGCCAAATTACTTTGAAAAGTAATTAATATTATATTTTGAAAAACCCCAAAAAGAAGAGGGTGTGATCAGCACTACGTAGTGGACTTGGGCTGGTCAAAAGAGTCGAGCGTAGCTGGCAAGTTGAATAGTTTGGGTCTGTGGGCTTCTATTGGTCAAAACGCTAGAGAGCTATCATTGTCTAACATCTGTAATGTCTTCACAGTGTGTTAAATTTGGAAGACACGAATCTCTCTTTTCTGTATGTAGGTTTTGAGTGGTCAAAGCACGCGGGGGACTGGAAATACCAGCCGGCAGGAATTTGTTCTTTAAAACTATAGCACTGTTGTTTTATAAAGTTTTTTTTAGAAATGAATTAAAATAATATTTTTTATTTTTTAAAATTTATTTTACATACCATCATACCAAAACAAGAAAAAAAAACATTAAAAGACAATTGAAAGTAAAAAGATTAAAACACATTTTTTTAAGAAGTGCTGCTGGGCCACAAAACAAACTGCCCTTGAATGAAGTGGTGCTGTTCTTGGTAGTATATGCAAAATAACCATCTGTAACAATAAGTCTATAAGATTAATTAATTCAGAAGATTGGACTTAGGAGGGTTCTTGTCAGCTAAGAATCTGTTGGTTATACTAGATTTATAGTGCTGGCATGAAGCTTCTTGAGAGAGGAGCTTGTCCCCGTAACAATTAGAGATAATTACGTGTGACTGTCATGATATGCATTTGGTCCTTGGAGCTCAGTGTGATTACAAATGGCAAAACTCGCAGGGCTTGGCCATTCTTTTCATATGTTTAAACGTTAGCCATTTTCGGAATCGCAGATGCTGTGAGAGCAGCAATGTCGCAACTCCCATGCAATGATGCTACACATAAATCATTGAAGATGCAAGAGTAAGAGCTGTTGATGAGGATGGTACAATAAGTTAACACGGTGTGACCACAAGCCTTGCTTGGGCTGTGTGCTAAGACCTGGATGAGCTGTTCATCACAATAATCTTTGACCACATCAGCTGTAGAAAATTACTTCGGCCAGATCATATCGCTGGTGGGGATTAACAGGCGTTGAGACTTGAGAAAGCTTATTATAATCAAGATGCATGTGTAGATGATGAAGATGAAATAATGGTGGGGTGAAAAAGCAACAATCCATGGCTCGTCGGTGAGTAATCAAAGGTCAACCCTTCATTATCATACTACAACTTACAATATTGCAATCTTTAGCAGTTGCCATGCATCAGTAATAAAAAGTTTCTATGTGCCAAGCAATGATTACACATGATCATTAGACCAGGACGAGCAGAAGTGGACCTCATCCTGGGAGGTCCTCCAGCCAGCTGGACTTAAGAAATCCACGTGGGTCATCAATCCAAAACAGTCCCCTGGTCCATGATGAGTTTTTTCTTCCATACAACAATTCTCTCTTTCGTTACAGGTTCATTCGGATTTAAAAAAAAAATAACATGGTTTGGTAAATTTTTTGATAGAATGATATAGGATGTAGAAGTATTTGAGACATAGTGAAACATAACTGTATTTCTTAATATCAAATCTATACATGATTGTTATTAGAAATAACAGTTTAATACAATCATATTTTTAATATTAATTTCTGATATTAATTTTATACGTGATTGAGAATAGCAGTTATATAGTGATGTTTGCTTTTTTTTAAATAATTAATTTTATTAAAAGTCAACTTAAAATTTATATTTAATTAGAATTATTTTATTAAAATCTTTTTAATTATAATGGATGTATCAAAAACATAACTTCAATGTATCTCTGGCGACTTATTTTTTCTCGGTCATCAAATTTTAAATTTCATTTTATTGGATCTTGATAAAAAATTTAGATCAATTATTATATTTATTAATTCATCTAATTGAGAAATAACTTTTAAAACAATTATTATTTTTAATAGTGGCTGGGTTGAAATTCTTCATTTTACAAATAGTTTTCTAACGCATCTTTTTATTAAAATACGTTAGAATTACAAAAGACACCATTTATACAACAAATTTCTTGTATCGAAATCTTCCTCATCTTGAGGCATGGTCCCACGAGCTAAATACTATGTGTAGGTATAGGTCGGCTCTGGTGCAATAGGGAATGGCTTGGAGAGTTCCAATAAAGGGCATCGAGGGTTACTTGGCCTTCTGGTTGATTCGTGTTTCTGTGATTGAAATGTACATAGTCTTTTCTGATTCTAAAGAGGTGTCGTGGGTTTTTGAATCCGAAAATTGATGGAGAAACTTGAGATATAAAATAAAATACTCCCTAGCGGTTCAACTATGGCCATTGTGAGCTGTGATGAACAGGTAAAAGGAAAAGGAAAAGGGGTAAGAAAGAAAAGGAGTTTTCTTTGAATGGTAAATAATGCAAAAACAAGATCAAGCTTCTCAATTCTGTTCCCTTTCCCCGAGAGTTTTTACTCTGTGGAGTGACCTGGAAACCAATTCAACCACCACTACACATCTACCTCCTCCTCCAATTTCTTTCCTCAAGTCATTCCATCTCACCTGCTAGCACTACCCCTCCTTTTCATGTCCTCTCAGTACTCTCACTATCTGTCTAGCAGCGACATTTCTTGGATATCGAGCCCTATAAAGAAGATGAAACGAGAGAAAAGAAAGCAACAAATCAGGCTCCCGGCAGAAACCCTACACGCTTCTTAATAGGTAAACAACGCGAACAGTGCCAGATTTCCTCTGTGCTGGCGATGGAGCAAAGATTTTATAGATTTCTGATGAGAATTGAATTGCCCACTTCGGGTTTACCCCTCCTGTCATTGGCTAGGCAGGGATAGACAGACAGAGACCTCCAAGGAACGAACTGACTTGTCTTGCTGGGATTGTAGTAAAAAAAAATCACATTGGGAACTGAATTTTCCAATTCCTTTCCTCTGGAAGTACCAGCTCTGATGATCTATTCGAAACCAATCAGTGGAGAATGAATCCAAAAAAATGAAAAGAGAAATAATTGTCCTGTTAATGTCAATCAATCTTCTTTGTTTAGCGTTCAATTTCGTGTGTGTTTAGGATTTTATTAGTAATTACATGTTTTTTAAAATATATTTTTTGTTTTAAAATATATTAAAATAACTTTTTAATTTTTTTCTAAATTCAGGTGAAGATTCAAAGAAATTAACTCTGAGTTTATTTTATTTTATCTAAAACAGCGTTGCTTTAAAGTTGCTTGGAAAACTCAAAACCTTGAAGGGATTGGATCCACGCCTTGTGTAGCAAAATTATTTTCCTATCATTGTACCTTTCGAAGGTAAAGAGCACTGCTCTCGCTCGTTTGCAGGTCATTATTACTCAATGTGCAGAAAAAATTATAATATATATTAATGAGCTAAATATTTTTAAAATTATAACCAAGATAAAACAAGACATGCATCACACTTCACCGTGAATAAATAAAATCTAAAATGTTTGTTTTTAAATTTAAAATGAGGTTTTAAAAATGCATCTGACATCAAAAAAACATCAAACTAGTAGTTTTTACTGTGTTTGTAAACAATATTTATATGTTAGATAAAAATTATATAAAAAAAAATATTTAAAAATATTTTCAAATAAAAATAAAAAGTACTTTAAAAAAATCATGCACTACAATTACATGGCCATGCCATGCTTTTTGAAAAATCTGATTTTTTTTTGTTTTGAGATTATATTTTTTTATTATTTTGATATGCTGTATTAAAATAAATTTTAAAAAATAAAATATATATATATATTATTTTAGTATATTTTAGTAGATTCCAATCTTGCTCATCAGAGGTGAGGTTCTGTTATAACCCATAACTTAGTAATTAATAATCCATGGAAGAAAAGCACGATTGTTAGATGTAAAAGCATTAATTACACACATTGACTTCATTTTTTGGAGAACGTATTCCCTGTTGTTTACTGGCATGCACACCACTGTTCTGGTCATGGTTTTGCAGTGATTAAGATATTGTGTTACCAGTTAATTTTTAATATCAGCATATTTAGAAAATTAAAAAATAATTTAAAAAATCATATTTTTAGTAAATAGTATTTTAGCTCGAAGGATTTATCTCTAAAATTGCCATGTTGCGCGCAACTCGATCCCATAATAGTCAATGCAATTTCATAGATATCAAATCCAAAACAGGGTCAAGCTCAGTTTTGGGAATCGAGTTATTACATCGCGTGGTATCAATTAAATTTTTGTTTAGAATAAAGTTATTTTAATTTTTTTTATTTTTAACTCGACAATGTCTAAACTAGTTTTAACTGGGTCATAGTTATATTTGACCAGATGAATATATGATTTAGCTGAATTAATATTAAAAATTTAAATGAAATGAGATCCAGCTCGAGTCAATTCCAGGTCTTTAAATTTACCCATCTGCGATTCGATGTCTTGATCTGCGGACGTACGTA